TTTTTTTTTTGTATTAAAAAAAATATCTTATATTTTTCTCCATTTCCTCAATTAATTGCACATATTCAATAATTTTACAGTAACCCAATAGTAGAAAACTACTTTACCAATTTGCATACATGATGAAGATGTTCTGTTAAAACTGAAAATTTGAATTGGAAAAATTGAAAACTATTGATTTATAATAATGGAACAGTGGTTTCAGTCTCAAAGATGAGAGTGCAATATAAACACATACATAACAAAGGTAGTCTTCGCATTATCCTTTGGTCAAGCTTCTCTGGAGGGAGGCTTTTCTGTTAACAAATGAATTATAACTGACCATTCTGCCAGATTGAGCTTAATGGCTTATGTAGGTTTGAGAGTTATTACAGAATTAGCTGCTACGATATTATTAAAAATCTTTTCTTTCTTTTTTAATTAAAAGAAAAAGTTTATGATCAGTTATATTTTTAAAATATAAATAAAATAGAATATATTATTAAAATAAATGAGGACAAAATATTTGAAACTCTTATTACATAAAAAATGTTTTATAGCACTAACTTTATAATGTAAGAAAATGTGATTAAAATTTATGATAATAGAATAAAATATCATTAATTTTTGTGCGGTGGATGGAAACCGCATAAAAAACTGTAAAAAGCAGGAAGTAACTAAAATCTAAGAATGGGCAGTACAATTGTTGAGCAATAAGTATTAGCCTAAATTTAAACATATAAAATTTTATCTAGTACAAAAAAAGTCTAAAATTTCTCTTCATATTTACTCTTTAAAAATAAGAAATTTTCTCGTTTTACTTTGATATGAAATATAAAAATTTATTTGACCTATTATAATGTTTTGTTTTTCAATATATCATGTCTTATTTTCCTAAATAAATATAAATATGTACTCATATATATCTAGATAAATTATGTGTACTTATTAGTTTCAGTTTATATGTTCTATTTAAAAAATAATATCGATAATTCTCTGTTTAGATACTAATTACACTCTGGAAAGATTAATTATTTCAATTAAATTTCATTAATAATTCAGGATAAATAAATAAATTGATTAATTCTGATTATTGTTACTAATATTTACTTTGTTAGGATTGATTATTCTCAATTGGTTAAATTTTTATTAGTTCATTTAGAGGGGTTTATTAATAAATTTTTCAGTTATTTTAAATTTTACCATTATTTTTTTTAATACCTTTCATTTAAAAATGCACAATTGAATGTTTATTTTCTCATGATTTTCAGTTAAAAATATAAAAAAAGCTTTCAAAATATTTATCAATTAATCTTTTTTTTTTTTTTTTTTTTTTTTAAGTTTGCTTTTTCTGAAGAAAATTTATACAGGGATTGTCTTGTAGCTTGCATTAATTTTTTTTTTCAAAAGCTTCCAATTTTTCTGTTGTTTTGATTGTGAATGAGAATTACTTTGTGAAATATACACATAAAATAGTATAAGTTGTTAATTAAAAAATTTATGGGTCAAACTTAGTTATTATATAATCTTACTCATTTTGATTAACTTTAAGTGCTGATAAGTGCTCTTTCAAAACTCAAAGTGCCCTTTTCTGTTAGATGCACCCTATCCTTTTTTATTCCTAGGAAGAACTCTTATATATGTATGTAACATAAAAAGCTTCAATTAATCTTTTTATGTTAGTTCTTTTCTGAATATCCTTTTCTTTTATTTTATTAATCTAATCGAAATGCTTTCTCACACTTATAAATTCACACCCTGTCCTTAAATCTATTTTTGACTCAACTGTTCATTAATTAAAAGCAGGGCATTTTTTCCTTTAATCTTCGTGGGAATCACTCGGCCTATTTCGTAATCCAATAGTAATTTCTAGGATTTCCCTAAATAGACACATTTAGGGATTTTACTTTGTAAGATTTTCCCTAACATATAACCGAGGAGCGTTACTTTTCGTGTACACTTTCATGACTGCTCTGTTTAATAATTAATAAATAAATTTTGCACCCTCCTTCCCTGCCTAAGACCTGTTTTAATCCTTCCACTCGGCAATGACGTTATATGTTCTATTTTGAAAACAAGGAGTTAAATATAAAAATATAACCATGAAAAGTTATTCATTCCAATAGTATCTCAATGTCATATTGGTGTTAAACTTTTTTTCTTCCTTACTTAGTAAATAGTTTTGTTTAAGTGTATTTCAGATATATTTTTTCTCTGGATTAGATAAAACAAATTTTTTAACTTATCAACTGAGAACTGAAGCATTACTTATAGCCCATTTTAAAGAAATTTGTGTTAATTACTAAGTCTATGATTATTTTAAGTCAAATTAGAAAGTTATATGTGTGGTAATACAACTAAATTTTTATGGANTTTTTTTTTTTTTTTTTTTTTTTTTTTTTTTTTTTTTTTTTTTTTTTTTTTTTTTTTTTTTTTTTAGAAATCATTGATATAAGTCAAAAATATTATTTAAGATAAATTATAAATATGCTATTAAGATTATATTTATAATCTATTATACATGATTTTATTGTATGTTTGATGATATTGATATATATGTAAATTGTTAGTTAATGTTCAAAATAAAAAAAATTTAAAAAAGAGAGCGAAATACTAAATGATGAAAGAAATACAAAGCTTTTAAATATAATATTTTAATTTTCCTTTAGCTATATGTAAAATAGTTAGCTGTTTAATAAACACATTTCAATTATACCCATTTAGTTTTATGTTTATTTTTATACCGTAACTTTTAAAACTGATTAAATGTGTGGTTTAGGAAAGGCTTGTTTTGTCATTGATTTTTGTGATGAGAACAGTAGATTTTTTTTAAATTTTCTAATTGAAATTAATTTATTCTTCATTTGATAATTTTACAAATACACTAGAGTGTTAATCAAAATAATTATGATTTTATATTTTAATTATTAGATAATAATTATTATACTTAACCTCTACTTAAATCACTTGTTTTACGAATTTAACTTTAATTAACCTCTTTGGTTAAAAATTCTAATTATTTTAGTTACATTGTTATTAAATAATACTAAGCTTCGTTAATACATTGTATCTGAGTCGTAATTGATAAAAGTAAAACAAACAAACAAAATCTGATTAATCAAAATCAAGATTTTTTGCCAACTCGAAACAGAGTTAGTATCAATCTCCTGATTACATTTCATAAATCTTTGGTGAATTTTTAAATATAAACACTGCTTGAAAGTAGTGACATAGCTGGCAAAGTTGCAAGGGACAGAAAATTCATGAAAAATTATTAAAAATTAATTTCAGAGTAAAATGCTTTTGTCTTTTAATTATCTCTAGTTTCATTTGATTTTTATCGGCCCATTAACTTCAAATTATTATTTGATATGCTTAAAAATTGAACAGAATGTCCATTATTATTGCATTTAGGGTTTTCTTTTTATTATTTTTAACAAATTGGTGAGACTGTGAATGAAAAATGTCTTTAATAAAAACGCTTAAAATTTCTGCTCTTTAAACAAACTAAATTTCACCAACCTAAAGAACCCTTTTGCTGCTATTAATAACTGGAGTATTTATCGATTTTCGAGTCAATATGATCTTGCCTAAATCTGACAAACTAAATATAACCTTAAACTTTGGCGTAAAAAATCGCAAAAGATGTGTCAAAAATCAGGACATTAAAAGGTTTGCTATTTCCCTACATAGTTGGAATTCTAATTGCAGCTTTAGGTTTTCTTCTGCTAATTAAAATTACTCTCTTCATCTACCAAACTTAATTTTTGAGAATCATTCCATATTTTATTGTTATTTCTTATATCCCAATAGTTGAAAATTTATTCTAATTTAATCTTTTCCACTCTGGAGTTCTCACTGAACTTCCTCACTTGGTTTTTATCTCCTATCTTTTATTATCTTATTCAAATTTGTTCCTGTTACCCTATTGGTTAAACCATATGCACATGTTTGTCTCTGCTTCTCTACTATCATTTAGTGTTAAGAAGCTGAGGAAAGTTCTTGTTTATGGGACTGAATCTATAATATGTTAATTTTAAAACTTTTATTTGTGCTTTATACACTTTTTTTTTTACATCATAACTTTTTTATTTCATTTTGCAGGATGTCAGTTACTGGTCACTTGTGGGTATCCAAGCATCAGGCTTACTTCAAGCTATAATAATACCTTTGTTTCTAACTATGGTAAGATTATATTTAGAAATTTATTATTGCTATTATTTTAATAGCAGTGTTCTCCTTAAGCGTTTTTGGAAGGGTGGCCTCCTCTTCCTTTTGATCCCCTCTTTTCGCTTTTTGTAAAAATAAGTCACCAGCCCTTAGGAACAATGCCTTTTTATTCATATTCCTTTTTTTAAAAAAAACTTATTACTAACTGTTAAAATAATAATTTCACACAAAAATTATCTGTGTTTATAGGTTTAATTCTGATTACTATTACAAATATTTACTTTGTTAGGATTATTCTCAACTGGTTACATTTTAATAAGTTTCTACATATTACAGGGCTACCACTCCACAGGGAAAACCTGTAAAATACAGGGAATTTAAAAATCACCTAAAATAACAGGGATAATGCAGGGAATTTTGAGTTTTTCCTTACAAACTGGGAAAATACAGGGAATTTCATTTCTTATTTAAAAAGTGGTGTTCACTCAAAGCGCAATCTAAGCAATATTTAAGGATGATATTTCTGCTATACTAAGCTATTTCATTTACTGTAGCATTATTTGTTTTAAGTTTTTCCTTTTTACAGCAATTAAAACTAGTACAGCTAGACTAATATAGGTCACACAAGTGCACAGTAATTGTTGTGTTTCCTCTTTGTATAATATGTACAGGGAATTTTTTTTCCAGATTTGAGTGGCAACCCGGTATTAATAAATTTTTTAAGTTATTTTGAAATTATTTTTTTAAATACGTACTTTTTTTTTTAAAGCACCTTTAAATGTTTATCTTCTCATAATTTTCAGTATAAATTATAAAAAAAAGTCTTTTAAGTTATTTATCAAAAAAAAATTTTTTTAGTTCCTTTTAGTGCCCTTTTCTGTGCAGAAGCACCCAGCCTTTTTTTATTCCTAGGGAGAACTCTGGTGTACATATTTTGAATTTAAATCCTTGTAATCCTCTCTCAATGAATCTTAGTAGGCCTCATTTATCTAATAATCAACTTAGTCTTAAATAGAATAGTAATGGTTAGCACATATTAAATATTAATTAGTACTTATTAAATAAAAAGTTTACTATTTTGTTTGGAAGCTAAATTTAACACTGTATAATCTGATAGTCATTGAAGGAATATTGAATTAATTACTGTAAAATTTTACTGTGAGTCAAAATCTTAGAATTTGGTTTTATATAATTTATGGATCAAATATAATTTCTATTATGATTTTCTCATTTCATGATTGTAAAATTTTACAAAAAGAAAAAAAAATTTGATCTTACAATAACTTATAATTTAGCACTTTTTTTTTTCTTTTTTTTAATGTTTAGCATATTTTATCCTCTAAAAATAAATTGGTGTTATAATTTATTTTAAGTGTTACCTTAATTTTAAGTGAGTTGTACTATTTAGTGCAGTTGTAAAGTTTATTATCATTATTTTGGAAATTATATCAAATTTTAACAAAAATATATTGGTATTGCATCTCTTAATCATACTATAACAGTTAAACCTAAGTATGGGGAAAAAATATTTTAGATTAAAATTAGTGTTTCACAAGAATAAAAGACATTTGGAATATTGAATTCAAAATATGGTATTAATTAAAACTATTTGATCCCAGAATGTACCTTATAGATATTTATATTTTTTGTGTTATTTTTTATTTATATGTTTGCATATTTTTTACTATTTTTATATAAAAATAAAAAAAAGAAGTGTTACTTACTTACATTTTGGTGTTATTGCAGGTTCTTTTTTTGGGCCCATTATCTTTGCATTATAACGATGGTCAATATAATACATTTTTTGGTAAAAATTCTCTGTATTTTTCTTAAAATTTCTTTTGCCTTATCAAATGTCATTGCAAATAATTGACATCATTGTTAAACTGCTAGTGATGAGTGTCATAGTTTTGCTCTATTTTCTTAGGCAGTATTTCAGAATTTCTTCTATAATAATTTTTTTTTATATATATACAGAAGACAAACTTTTAATCAGTGTACTTATTCTTGTTATGTTTCTTTAAAGAAAGTTTGTCATTTTCGAATTAGGTGCTTTTTCCTAGAAATGAAAACGCAATTTAAAATTATATTCATGAGATTTAAAATCAAGATTCGAGATTTATATAAACACGATTTTAAAGTCAAATATCGAGATGCACATTCACAAAATTTTAATAGTAAATGTCAAGATTTCACACAATTTTAAAATCTAGCATCAAGGTTGATATTCATGTGATTTTAAAATATATGTCGAGATTAGTATTCACGTGATTTAAAAATCACACATTGAGATTCATATTTACACAATTTAAATAAATAAATAAAATCTTGCATCAACATTTTTATTAAAATGTTGATAACATTCTGTGGATGAATGCTTCCTACTTACACTTTTTCCTGCTCAATTTTCAGGTATTTTTTCAATTACTTAAAAAGTGTTTTTGCTTATAACATTTTTGGATTTCTAATTTCAGTTATTTTACCAAATTCATCCCTGTAAAATGAATCTATATCGAGTTCTATAACAACTAAACATTTTTAAACAAATTTCACCAAAATAAGGACAAAAGGGTTGGAACTAATTTCGAGAGTTAATCAACGCGTGCAGAAATTTTGTGTGAGAAAGTATTTCATTTTATCTTGTAATAGAATTTCATAAATATAAATACTTGTATTAGTAATCATACAAAATCTAAAAATGCATAGCTAATACCTTTTCCCTTTAACGAAAAATATTTCCTTTTTATCGAAAAGCATTTTTAAAAATAAAATTAAAATATAAAGAAAAAACTCATGGTAATTTATTTTATGTACACACAATATAATAAAAAGTTTATTTAAATAAGTAATTTAAATAATCTAAATCAGCAATGATGTATGTGTATATGCATGTACGCATTTGAAAAATGTAAAGGTGCACCTAATATTTTAATTAAATGAAAATTTACAGATTTAACATTAGCTTAGATTAAAACAATGTAGTTTCAGTACAAAATATGATTTAATATTTAATCAGAAGTATGCTTCATTTTTTAGTGATATTCATATTTAGTGAATTATTAAAAGTACATGAATGTTAAACATTACAAAAAATCACCTTTTAAGCTGTAAAAAGTAGGGGGGGGGAAACACAAACAGTAAGCAGCTGAGCATAACAAAAAATAAGTTATATCACTGAAATACAATTAAAATAAAATTGAATCAAAGAAACAGTTCCTACTAAACTATGAACCATAAAAAAAACTTATAGAATGCAAGAAAATTTATATATAGTACCTTAAAATCAGAGAAATGTTGCAAGCTTAGTCTGGGAAATTTTTTCCACAGTTTCTGTAGCCATCCTGTGTACTTTTTATGTTTAGAAATGTACTTTATAAATAATAGTTACAGAAATATATTAATTACAAACCAACATGCATCTTATTTAAAGTCTCTAAATATAAGCTGTACACAATTTGTATCCATACAACTCTGAAACAAAAATCATTCATATGTTACTGATTTTCACTTTGAATAATCCTTACTGAATTTCAAACTTGACATTTTTGTTTATAACATTGAAATTCTGATTGAGTAAATTATAAGTTTAAAATGTCTCTATTCTCACAAACTGCTTGGTGTATTGAAACATTTAATTTTTCGCACACTATTTTCTCCACTATTACACTATTTGAAAAGGTTTTATTGATATAAGTAGCAAACATTTTATAAATAATCTTTTTAAACTTGCTAAGACAAAACTGCATCAAAATAGAATAGGTCCACATCCAATGAATATCATTTTAGTTTGTTTTATATGTCTGCTTTTGTTATTATTGTCAATGCTGTATTAATGTTCATCTAAGTATCATTTTTCTTATGTAGATTTTAAAGTTTGGATACATTGCTTAACTAATGTTATATGGTTAAGAAATCATGTGATAGTAAGTATTAGATATCAAATTATGTGTGTTTTTGACAATTAATAGGATTTGTGAACTGAAATGCTTGCTTTAAATACAGAAAAATTTAATTACTGCTACTATACTATGTGAGATTGTCTTTTCATACAATTCCGCTAAATCCTATTCTTTTCATACAATTCTGAAATGCAGCAACAAAACAGAAAAATTTGATTACTTTTGCTATACTATGTGAGATTGTCTTTTCATACAATTCTGCTAAATCATATGTCTTATACACAGATCTAAAAAGGAAGAAGTCACACATGTATCACATTAAATTGGTTAGAACTCAGGGGTTTAAAATAAACCCAGGCTTCTTTTTTTTTTTCTTTTTTTTCAAAAAAATGTCTGCATAACCATCCAAGATAAATTCCAGTAGGGTTATTTTTTATTTTATTTATTTTTTCGAGGCATTTTTTAAGATATTGCTTGGAATTAAACTTTTTTGGTTTTTTAAGTCTTAATGAAAATTTAAATTTTTATTTCAAAAGTTATTTTAAAAGAAAACTTTTATTGCAATATAATGAATTATCTGTATAAAAAAATTAGCTTTAGTTTAGTACTATTTTTTCCTATAGATGTTAATAAAAGATTCTTTAACCATAGATCAAAGCATATTATTGGGTAAATCAAAACAAAACATATTATCATTATGAACTGTTTAAATGGTTTCAGAGAAATCTATTTATATTTAGATAAATTATATTACCTTTAAGTGATAGTTTCATTTTCTTGTTAAAATAAAGCCAGTATACCATATGAAGGTAAACTTTATACTGAAAAATTAAGGAAATTTTAATGATATTGATATTTAATGAAATGATATTCTGACTGTTTAATTAATGATATTCATTGTTATTTGATTTGTTCTATAAAAGTGTGTATCTATAGAACTAATGTCACTTAGAAAATTCTAGAATCAACATTTGTATCATTCACTTCAACATAATTAATCTATATTGAGATAGTTTTCTATTGCTTAGTATTAAAGTACTAAATTTTGTAGGGAAGGTCATATATATTTAAAATCAAATAAGAAATAACAATTGAAAAACAAGGGCTGTTTTTGGTCATGGTTAACATTTGATTAAAACAATTAAATTGGTTAATTTTTGGTTAAAACATTTTAGCATAAACTTGTGTAGTTTTTTTTTTTTTTTTCAAGTCAAAAACCCTGCAAGAAACTGGTCTTTCTCATTGATATATATCTATTTGATCAAAGGTTCACCACTTAAAATACCTGCAAGGACTGAAAATAAAGCTTTAATTGTGTCTGTATTTAGTTCAAGGTTTGTTTTTGTTGTATTTGTCTCAGTTTTTTTAACCACCTATGTCCTTTTAACTGCTTCCCTGGTTATCCCCAGTTGACTCAGGTATGTATATATTGCAAATGATTATTATCCCGTGAAAACTCTGGTGTAGCAGAATTTGTCAGTATGTTTTGTTTTATCACGTTTTTACTCGGCCGGAAGAAGAAAAAAAATATCTGCTGTGATTGGCCAAGTATTATTTTGGGAGCTTGTGGGACTGCACACGTATTTTGTGCTATTGTATATACGATAGTTGCTGAATTTACAAAGAAAAAAAAAGAGTTTAAAAAAATGGTATGTCACTTCACCGCCGTTCGGAAAGTATCACTTTGTGTTGTACTTTGTTTTAAAAACTATCATACAAAGACTAATAGATTATTTATATTTATCATTTGCCGAGAAAATTCGGGTTAGTAAACTAACAGAATTAAATGTTTTCTACAAGTGAAAAAAATTAAAATAACAACTTTAAACTTGTGTATTATGTTTTGTTTTAATTCCTTGTATTTATTAATGGAATAAAAAAATATGTTGACTTTTTGCATTTTTGAAGCAGTTAAAAGCTTGAAAGGAATAATGTTACCCTTTAAATGTTTATTTTGACTGCTTCTATTAAGTGCTGCTCTCCTAATTGTTTAAATGATTCCCTCATTTTAAAAAAGAAATTATATATTTTTTAACTTAAACAAAAATAGTTTTTATTACTTTATTAAAAGGAATGATACTTCCTTCCTTCATTACTTGGAGCAGTTTAATTAGAAAATTCATTATGTGTTGTGTGGATAAATTAAATATGCATGTAAAAATAATTTTCATTTCATTATTTATTTAAATACATTTTGCCTAAATGTGAAATGGTATTTTGATCCATTAATGTTTTAATTACTTTTATTATTAGGCTCCTATTTTTGAAGAATTCACTTTCAGAGCTTGTATGTTGCCAATATTAGTGCCATGTTTTGGAAATAAGACTTCTGTGATTTTATGTCCATTATTTTTTGGCATAGGTAAACTATAATTTATAACATTAATTTCTCTTAGAAATCGCATTTCTTTAATCAGCTGTTTTCATTTAAATTATTTCAAGCTCATCTGCATCTTCTGAATGAAAAATTAGCTCGTGGAGCAAGACCTAAAGTAGCCATTCTACAATCCTGTAAGCATTTTTTTTTCTTGTCCTATTTGTTTTATTTATAGAGTACTACAGGGTTGCCATTCCATAGGGAAAACCTGGAAAATGCAGGGAATTTAAAAATCACCTAAAATAACAAGGAAAATGCAGGAAATTTTGATTTTTTCTTCACAAACTGGGAAAATACAGGGAATTTTGTTTCTTATTTTTGTCTTTTGAAAAATGGTGCCCACTCAAAGCGTAATCTGTGGGATATTTAGCCATGATATTTCAGCTATACTGAACTATTCCACTTACTATAGCATTAATTAAGTATGTTCAGCTATTTTCCCTCCGATTAAAACTAATAAATATAATTAGCCCTATATAGCTTACACAAGAGCACAGTAATTGTTGTTTCCTCTTAATATATTGTGTATAATATGTACAGGAAAACACAGGGAATTTTTTTCCAGATTTGAGTGGCAACTCTACTAGCTGAATACCCGCTCTTCGCACTGGAGTATTTAAAAATAAATGGAAAATCAGTATTGAGAAACACCAGGAAATCATGAAATGAAACTTAAAATCATATACGGGCACAATTAAAGAACTTGGACAAACCAGATAAGTGATATTTTTAGGGGAATTAATGAGAATAAAAAGAAAGTGGTTGAATAAATACGGGTATGTTTAATGTAACAGAACTGTTTTTACTTTCACATAAATTTTAACATAACTAATTACATCAGTTTTCAATATGCTTGCATGATTTTTATTTCAAATTAGGTCGTGGTAAACAAATGAAAACAAAGAAATATTTGTCCCGCTTTCTAATAAATTGGTAATAAAATAGTTCAGATTCTACTTTTTTTCTATTTCTGAAAATGTCACTAACCTGTTTCTTCCACTAAGTTCTTCAATTAATATAGCTAAAATAATTTCAATTTTTTTATTTAATGTTCAGACGTGCCAACTCTCCCGCATTTTGCGGGAGTCTCCCGAATTTTGAGTTATTCTCCCGCCCTCCGGAATTGATTTGAAAAACTCCCGAATTTTACTGCGATCGACGGCCAAACTCAAAATTACCTAATTTTCCCGCGAGTGCGAAGGTAAGTTTTTCTTTCAGCTTGAATTCCATCCCCTCTTATCAAACTACCATCTGCCTGAAGTGTAGCTGAACATGCTTAATTTTCCCCCCCTCTTCAACGTTACCTCTAAAAACACTCCTATTTCACCCGCCCCCTTACACAGGGGGCGGGTGAAATCTTCCTCTTCTTTCGTGTGGAGTTGAATGCAATGACGTCACATGTCGTTATCGAGTGACGTCCGTTCAGGAGTGGGGAAACTCGTACTCTCGATAGTTGGAATTGATATTGTATCTTGCTGTTTTTATAGTTTTTAATGCGTATTTTTCCACGGTTGGCAACAAGCTCGTAAACTAGCAACGTGATATCAATTATTCGTTTAGTCTTCGTATATTTAAAAAAAAAAAATTTCAAGGATGTCTTAAGTCGAAACGGAAGTATGGATCAATTTCAACAAATCATGTACCAATGACTTTAGCAAGACTTAATTGCGGAGAGCTAAGTCTGCAACNGGGTTTTTGAATAATGTTTTATTAAGGAAATGGTATTTATTTAAAGAGTATCTACCTAATATAGTTTTGTGTTGCTAAATCTGTGTTTAATTATTTTATTTCCATTTAATATTTTTAAACAATTATTGCTCTATTAGTGTGTAAAATTTCTTGCATTCTTATATTTAATAAATTTTTTACTTAAAATTCCTTAGAAGTGCCAAATGTTGCATACCATGCACCTTTTTTTACCCCTCCTGAAATCTCCTGAATTCTTGTTAGGGAAACTCCTGAATGTTAATTTTGCTAGGTTGGCACGTCTGAATGTTATATGTTATCTTCGGTGACTTTATGTTATTGAAGTAAACAAAACTCGTTATTTCAGGGTTCTCACGGTACTTAAAAAACCTTGAATGTCCTTGAATTTTGTTTAAAAAAATCAGGGCCCTGAAAAGTCCTTGAATTCTGTCATAGGGTACTTGATTTTTTTGGAATTAAAATAGTACTAATCTTTCTTACAAAAAAGCAGTAAAAAAATAATAAATAAATTCAAAGGAAAATTATAGAAATTCTGATAGAGGCAATTTTTAATGCTTGAAGTGAAAAGGGGTTAAAGAAGATGCAAAACTTTTCTCTCCTATTTTTTTCACGCCAGCCTATTGTTCATCTCTCTGATATTTTGAAAGCTGAAATTTCGAGCAAATTTTAGGTTTTGTAGTCATATTTTTCGAATGATATATAGTCTTTAATCAATTTAGAAATATGTTCAATGTGTTAACTTCATTATTACGAAAGGTTAATATTGTTATCTTATTTGTTCTTTTCATTTACGTATGAAGGATAATTAATTTTTTATCATTTATAATCAAATTTTTACATTTAGTTTTTACTACTAATAAAGAAAATTTAGCTCTACAGATTTTATTGATAATGAATAAACATTGTGATTCACATTAAACTGATTCTTAATTTACAGATCGGAACTCATATAAAATGTTCTACAAATTGTGATTTAAATAAAAGTGATTAATGACTCACATATCGAATATTACTTTAAATTGATTTTCAAATTACTTATAAGAATTCATATTCACATAGGATTCACACATTATGATTTCAATTAAAGTTATTTCTGAATTATGTAACGTGATACGTATTTAAGTAATTTCAGAATCATGCCTCACAATTCTCATTCTAGTAGTTTACAAATCACGCATTGCGATTCACAAGAGATATTTAAGAGTTACCACTCGCAATTCTCATCAAAACGATTTAAAAATCACACATAACTGTTCTATATTGAGCAGCTTTCGAATCACGAATTGCAGTTTCCATCAAAATGATCACAATTCACATGAAAACTATAAGCTAATCTTGCAACAGAAATTAAAATTGAAGTGATTTATGTATCACATATTGTGATTTACGTCTTGTTAGTTCGTGTGTTTTGTATAATTTGCTATTCATATTGTTTCGATTTAAGAAACATACACTGCAATTCAATTTACAAATCGCACATTGTGATACGTGATTTACATAATCTTTGAGACTTCACCTTTCTTATAATTTTTATTTACATATAGTATATCTAGATTCGTGTAAATGCGATTTAAAAATCACGCTTCGCATTTTATGGATGTATTTTAGAGAAAATAAAGCTTGGTAAGTCTTAGTTAGTTCTCTGTAAAATATTGTTCTACAATAGATTTTATGTTTAAAATCTAGTTGACATGTAATTTAGCATATAATTGTAATATTGAATAGGTCCTTAAAAAATTTGTTTTTAGGTCCTTGAAAGTCATTGAAAAGTCCTTGAATTTTTTTAAAAAAATTGAGTGGGAACCCTATGTTTGTAATTCATACCATTGAATAAAGATAAAATGTATTTAACATCTCATGGTGTGATGCTATCGCTCAAGTCCGATTCATGATAGTTAAAATTCCCCTTTCGAGGGGCCGTAAAACACTTATTTCCAAAGTATAGGTATTAAAACTGCTTGATGCAGTTTTGAAAATCACCAAATATATCAATGTAATATTTTATACCTATATAAGTATATTTTGTACTTATTACATAACCCTTCAACATTTGACTTTATATGTATTTGTAAGTGGCAGCCAACTAAATCCGAATTTTTTTTAAAAATATATATATTCGAACTTTATAAGGATTTTGGAGCCTGACCATTTCTCTATCTGACTTTTAATTTGCTGTTAAAATATTTATAAGTAGTGGTGGAAAAAATTTCTTTTATTTCCAATTCTTTAAAATATTAACCTTTTAGTTGCGGCTAGTCAGGTGAAAAAATTCTCCTCTCGTTACGGCGCTTTTTTGCAGAAATTCTTCCCCTACTCAGTCAGTGGGAGGTAACTACTTTAACCAGCTATGAATAGGAAACGTTTGTTGTAATTTGTGTGTCATTTTTCTAGGAGGCAAAAGTAGTAGGGTTGTTATGTACATCGTTATTGTAAACGTTTTGGCATAGTTATGCATACTTTGGCTTTTTTATTTGTGACATTTAACACATTATAAGAAGAAATTAAAATATAGCTTTTAATTAATTTTACTTAATAAAGTGATGTTTTTTCTAATGCAAAGAAAGCATTCATTTAAAAATTATTTAAATATTTTGCTAGTTTAATATAAAATGTATATTTTATTGCATCTGAAAGATTGTTAATAAACTATTATAAACAAATCTCTTTTAATTTTTTCGAATAAATGAAGTATTATTTGAAGTTCAATTCTTATCCTAAAATCTTAAGCACACTAATTAGTTTTTACAATTTTGAAAAGCAAATTATTAAAATTTTAAACGATGAACTTTGTATCTCTTATACATTTTTGTAGGTATTTTTGTCTGCTAAAAAAAATAGCAAATGTAGATTTTGTTTTGTTAAACGTTTTTTATTCACTTAACTTGTTAGTTTTTTCCTCCCTTAGAGTAGCGTCTATAACATTCGAACAATATTATAATATAAATATTCTTTAATTAAAAATTTTCTGAGAACGTTTTGCCTTCATTTCTGCTTTGAAAACATAAATGTTACACAAATATTCAATAGAAATTCATCAAGATTTTACAAGAATATTTTATGGAAACCTTATTAGAAATATGAAAAATAATTATAAAGGCACTGAAAATATTAAAGAATATGTTTGAAATAAGTTCAAAGAATAAAAAAACTCCATTGTTTATCTTTTTTACAGCAAAAATATTAAGCAATAAAAAATTTGCCACGTTTCTATTTACTTTATATTTGAGCCCCATATTGAAAGAATAAAGATATTATCTAATTTTGAAATATTAGTTAATTTTATAAAGTAATAAATATAAAATAATAATACGAAATAATAGTAGTTATCAGTGCAATTTTAGATTGATTGGTTTTCTTTACACTTTCCTTATTCCTTTTTTTTTTTTCTAATACAAGAAGGAATATTCTTCCTAATTTCTTATTTATTTTAATTTTTTTTAGAAGTTGGAAAGGTTTTGTTCAAAAAAAGTATCCCCTGAGTTATTTCACATAGTCATGACACTGAGAAGTATTTCACGATTCCCATGCCTATAGGAATCATCATCAATTGTTATAAGACTCATCTATACTAGTTCTATTGACACAATGATTGTAAAACATACATTTCCTTTAGTCATGGTGTGGTCTTTCTTCAGGTGTATGAAATAACTATTGTTAAGAATTTTAAAAATGACTGAAACCAAAATAAATAATAAGAGCCCTCCCAAAACGCGTTCTGGCCGATAATGCAACAATAAGCAGAAAATGCCACCACACCTGAGAAAGAGGCAGGAATGATATCATTTTCCTTTATCTTTTAGAGAAGGAGTAATAATTTATTTTGTGGCCAGCAAGTTAAATTATGACAAACTGTAAAACTCTCAATAGAAAAACTTCGTCGGAACTTGAAGGAAGAATTTGTCCTTGAGAACTTGAAGCAAGAGACGAGAAAGATACCTTTTTAAAATAGTTCAGTAATTTATCACATATAAATATTTGAAAAGTAGAGATAGTTTCAATGTGACTAAACTTCCTGTTCAAGGTCACGAATTGAAAACCTTTCCATAGATGCTCCCTCATCTTTCCACAAATATTTCATTTTTTTCCTTTTCAGTTTTTAACAGTATTTTTTCGCAACAAATTAGTAATATAAATGTGTTTTTTTTTTTTCATTTTTTTAAAAAAAGAAAGAAATCTGAAACATTTTCTTAGCGGTTTCAAAAGTTAGATTCCATAAAATTACCACTGAAGAAATTTAAGCATGCATTCATCTTTTTGTGCGCGCTAGATTCAGAGTTTCAAACGTTTGATTAGATTTTCCTTTTAACCCTATGAAACAGCATATTACTCAAGTAAAAAAATATACAATACTTTGTTTTCATAATAATTTTGTGCTATTTTAATAGAAACATAATTTAAATGCATAGAAGATAACTAACATGAACTATTTTTGGCCTTAAAATTTTTAAAGCATAAAATTGAAATTGTGTATTTATATGTTTTTAATAATGTTACTACATTTTTAAAATAAACAGATAAGATATTAAAAAATATTGTGATATATCAAAATATGGAATTTTTCAATACTATTAAGTACTTTTTAATTTACAATACCAAATATTCAACATTATATCCAAAACCATAGCCAGGATTTTATATCCTTTTCAAGATAGGGTTTTTAAATATTTTTTTGTTAATGTTAAGTTCATGCATATACATAATATATTTAAAATAGATGACACAATAATGATCAGATAACGGTCAAATTCTTGAACTTGGTCCCTAATTTTTTTCTCGGTAGCATACAGTAATAAACACAGTCCGAGTTTTAATGACTTAGAAGTGCTCTTCAAAATGGAAAAAAATCTTTAAAATGGCTAATAAATGAACTTTAATAGAAAATATATTTCATTAAACTGGAATACAAAAAATAATTAAACTTCATTTACTCAAACATACTATGTAAAAATTGATATTTCTTTTAATAATTAATTACAAAATATTTGAAAGTTTAACTTCGAAAAGATCACGAATGAAATGAAACTAGTACTTTCAAAGGGAAGGAAAGAAATTCTCATATCTCGAAACTAGCCAACTGATAATAAAAAAGAAAAATATTTCAGCCAAATCGAATTGAAAGTGAGTCTTTTTTCAACAATAGGAGCAAATTACAGGGGGTTCTTGAAGAAATGACAGGTGCGATGGCGTTCTAGTAGAAAAGGGGAAAGAGAACCACCAGTACAACTGCTGATCCAGTGCCGCAATAAGAGAAGTTTTTCTACCGGTACATATGCTGTACCGGCCGCAAGCGAAGGGTTAATACCACTGGAAAAAATGTTTTCTGAAACTACGGAAAACCCATTGTAGAATTCAGAACCAATTCGCTAATTACCAGTAGTACATATTACCGTCTGTGATACATATTAATTAAGTGTCATCTGTGAATGGGAATTTTTTACGGTTTTCTTAAACAAATTTCACATTAATCTTTGTTCCATGAGCTTTGTTCCATGAGCTTGGCTCTTTAGCACATAGCTTGTTTTATTTTACTTCAATTAATACACATTATCAATATTAATTGAGCTTTAGTGTCATTAATAATATGCAGAAAATTTTTTTACGATTACCCAAAATGCGAATAAGTATCTTTTCTACTTATTTTTGCTTTTGAGTTTAGTTACTTTTTTTATTTCTAATAGTACATATTACCAACATTAATAAGGCATCATTGCCATCAATGATAGTATGACGATTTCTTACTGTTGTTCTAGACAAATAAATACCTTTACTAAATACCTTCACTCCATTTCTTTTGTTTTCTAGTATATTGCTTATTTCTTTTATTTTAATATGCATATACTACCTTAATTAATTAAGCATAATTGGTGTAATTAAGCCTCATTGGCACCAATTTTTTATGTTTCTCTTAAACGAATTAATACCACTTTCCAATTAATTTTTGCTTTTGAATACATAAAGTTTTTTTTTCTATTCCATTACCGTTGATTTTAAATAAGTAATTATTTAGAAACACGTTTAAAAGAGTTAATATAAATAAAGTAAAAGCCCGTGATATCAGACAAGGTGTAAATTTTGCGACGTAGACCACGCGTGCTACCATGTAATGTTCATTGAATTCATCAGACATAGCAAATATTAAATATTTAAATGTGTGCAATAAACTATTTTTTGATCAAACAAAGCTATAAGTTAGCAATTATCTCTGATGTATCTTTAAAATATGTGAAAATTGATGCGTTAAATTTAAAATAATGGCCTGGTGCTAACCAATCAGAAAATTCCATTTGGTTTTTCGTCACCCTGCTAGAATGATTATCGTAGAATGTTCTAATGTTGACAGTGACCTTCCTCATGCTTGAAACTATCTGTATGCCAAATTTCATCGCTTTTTGTGGGATGGTTTAGGAGTCTATAAAGGACATACATACATACACAGACATTCATTTATATATATATGTGATATATCAAAATATGGAATTTTTCAATACTATTAAGTACTTTTTAATTTACAATACCAAATATTCAACATTATATCCAAAACCATAGCCAGGATTTTATATCCTTTTCAAGATAGGGTTTTTAAATATTTTTTTGTTAATGTTAAGTTCATGCATATACATAATATATTTAAAATAGATGACACAATAATGATCAGATAACGGTCAAATTCTTGAACTNAAGGATTGATAAAAACTTAGTCTTGAAATTTTCATAAAATATTGTGTGCACTTTAAAATTAATATTTTTTATTTTGTATTAAAAAATTATTTACATATTAAACTCTTCATATATTAACTATTAAAATAGTTATTTATAAAGCAGTTTATTGAGTTAAAGTTCCAAACGTATTTTATAGTAATTTTTTGCTAAGGTTCAAACTAAATTAATAATTTATGGCATTCGTAAGATTTATAACATAAAACATTCGTATTTATATAAGAGTGACCACCCTTGACTAATGATTTGTTCATGTGATACTGTATCCAAATAATTTGTTATTGATTTTCATTCTTTTACAGTGTTTCAGCTTGCCTATACTACAGTGTTTGGTGCTTATTCATCTTTTCTCTTTTTAAGAACGGGTAAGTTTCTTTTAATTCCATATTTTTTTTAAAAAATAAAAAATACTTATTTTTTTAATGAAAGTTTCTTAGATTATTTTCCATCAATGTATAACCTGGTACAATTGTATTAATCAAATGAAAAGAAAGCATCTAGTATGATTCTAGAACTATACAGAAAGCAGATTAGAACTTTCTGTGGTTAAAGATACTATGCAGTCTTTAGTGTGACCCCCAATTTACGATACGTAATGTTCTGTTAGCTATCCTATAGGTGCAATATTTTATTGCCCTTAGGATGTCAAATTAAACCAATTATTTCAATCTGAGTCACCAAAAATCTTTTTATTTATTTATTTTACATTCCCATTAAAATCATTTGGTAAACACATTTTAAAAATTTTTCCTCTTTCTGAGCAAAAGGCTTCTATTATTAGTAAAATTATACGAATATTATGCATATTATTCTGTGTTTCAAAGAAATAATTTGAACCACTATTTCTTCTGGTGTTACCACACATTAAACGTGATACTTTTATTTATTTTTTTACAACAAGTCTTTATAAATTTATATTGTCTCCAGTAAAGTTTGCTAAAAAAGTATCTTATAAAAAATATGTAAGAGTTATTTTTTACTCTCCATAATATTTTGCTGTTCTAGAGCATTATATTTAATATATATATTCTAGCTACTTATATTTAATTTTAAATGCTTTACAGTTCAATTCAAATATTAAGAAATGCTAATTTTTTGCTAAATAAAAATTATCATATATTTTACCCCATTTTCACGGTACTGTCGACGCTCGACACAACGACCCTAGTCACCCGGACAAAAATTGAAATTCTAACACGAGATTGTTATATCCTGGTTGCCTAAAAATACTCTAAATATTTACTCATAGCTAAAAATAACTTGACCCATTTTAATAAAGTAATGATTTACTTTAATAAGAATTTGGTAACTAACAGAAAAATTGGAAAAAGCGCACGTTTTTTTCTACATTAATGTATGCAATCTATAATACTCCATAGGTGAAAATGCATTAAAAATAATATGCTGGTTCTGGCTGCCATTTTCGATAAATACTATACATCAAGAAAGCAGCGAAGACCTTGAAATTGAAAATAAAGACACTGACATTTCGCAAAAAGAGTGAATGCCATTTTTAAACAAGAAGGGTATTGTATCCTTTGAAAAGAAAGTTAACTGGCCTTGTCTTAAGATAAGAATTTAGGGAGTTATGCTCTCCCTCCATTCAAAGGGGTGTTATACATTTATTGTGGAGTAACATCATTGGAAAATTCTTTGAGATTTTTTCTAAATCAAAATTTCGGTTGCTCTGTTGGAATAAACAGTTCAGTGTTGATATTAAAATAAAATTGCTTCTATGCATTAGTAAACGAGACTCATTGTATGTTATAGTTCAACTGTAATAGTTAGATATTGTGTCTTTCTACAGGACATTTTGCTGCCCCTTCAGTAGCCCATGCCTTTTGCAACCACATGGGATTTCCTGATTTTGGCCAACTCCTTGCATTAGATCAACCAAAACAGTCCATAATTATGATGTGTTTTGTTGTGGGTCTATTTCTTTGGATTATTCTTTTGAAGCCTCTAACTGATCCAGAATTGTATGGTAACTCAGTATACTGGCCTGTGATGTTGTGATTAGTGTGCTTATAAATATAGGTGCTTATATGTTTTTTTTATATTTTCATTGTAATGTCTATTAAAGTTTTCTAATAAATGTTAAATATATTTTTATTGCATAAAAAATTGCACTTGAAATAATAGTGTCTTGAATATATATACAATCCCCTTTATTTTGTTTTATTAACATTATATGTACAACTTGCTTTGCAATATTTTCATAAATACTTACTTTTCAAGATATACAGAAAGTTTGCCTGTCATATAACAGTAAAAATTATTTTTCTAAAGTATTACAGATAAATGTGCAAATACTTAAAAATTGGAGACTAAATATTCAATATGGACCCTTATTCGCAAAAAAATTTCCGATTTGAAGTGAAACTTTTATTTATTTGTATGGAAATTAAATTCAAATTAATCTTTCCATTGTCTTTTTTATTTTTGGTGATTAAATACGTTGAGAAAAAAAAATTTTGTTGTTTAATAAGACTTAATCTGTGTCATATCAATTGTTTCCTTTTAAATACTTGAAAAATTATGTGTATCACTACAAGAAGCAGCAGAATAATTGCTCATTAACTACAGAAAAGTATCTTTGCTTGTTAGCATTCTAGACATATAAAATAAAAGCCCACAATAATTTCAGCATTTAAATTATTCTTATCAAGTACTCTATTCTTTTCACTTAAGTTAGTCATTGTAATTTTCTCAAACTATCAGTTCATCCCGGATTTTGAAAAACTCATGCTTTTTTAAAATAACACAAAAACATCTGGAAAGTGGAGCCTAGGCTTTTGTGAGATTTTTGTTTTAAATCTTAAATTCACTTTTGTACTTTCAAAACTACTGTATATTTTTTTAAAAAAAAAAATTTTTTTATGAGATTTTAATGCTTTAAAATTTATTTAACTATGTACCTACCTCACAATACAATAAAATAATTTCAGTGCTTCTGTCTTCATGTTTGTTGATTCGGAAAAAATGGCAGCACATTATCAAAAATTAATTTTAATATTTGTGCCACTTTTGAAGAATAAGTAATCAGAATAATAACTAATGATGTGATTAATGAAAAAAATTTGAAATAGTACTGAATTTTGATTTAAGTTTTATTAATAAAATTCATCAGTCTTAAATGTGTTGTGTATATCATTTTATATTATAACTATCATCAAAAAATATTGTATTTTAGCTAAAATAATTGAACCTTTCATTATAATTTTATTGAGGAAATCTTCATAGTATTTTGATTTCTTAGTATAATAGACATCTGATCTGTTATTACTATATAGCAGTACTATAAGCCACATTCTTCTCTTAGTCAGTTCTGATAGTTAAATTTTTTTATAAAGTTGAATTTATTTAATATGTTTAAATCAATAGGTTTTTCTTCAAAGTTTAATTTATTCAAGTAATTTTCCAAAATACATTGAATATCCCTAGTTAGTTTTTTTTAAGGTCTTCAGGCTTTATATATACACACACAAATACACAATACAAATTAAGATACGTAATGCAACAAGATTGAAAATTGAAGAGAAAAAGACAGTAAAATAGATACAATTCCAAGACACAACTGCACCAAGCTGCTAATGTAAATACTGAAAGAATATCAGAAGAAAATATAAATCAAAATAAAATATGACCCGACATGAAACCGATAAGAATATTGTAACGTGAGTCATCACAAAAAGTGGTAACAGGAAATAGTAAATAAAACGTCACAAAATGAAATAACCGTGAAAGAAATAGCAAAAAAATGGAAATTGAAGTAGAGCACTGATAACTCAGTACCTCCACTTCGATTTCGTTTACGTTTTATTTACGTAAACGAAATTACGTTTTATTCACTATTTCCTGTTACCACTTTTTGTGATGACTCCCGTTACAATATTCTTATCGGTTTCATGTCAGGTCATATTTTATTTTCATTTATGTTTTCTTCAAATATATATAAATAGGGTGGACGATTCATTCATTATTATTATAGGTAATTTAAAGATGCAAAGGATATCATTACTTAAGTCATATATTTCAAACTGGTGAAATGCTGTCTAGATTGAGCATTACAATCATTGTGTGAATGTCTTCAAATACCCTTTTAACATTTTGTGTATCTGTTGCTGTCGTGTAGTGCCAAAAACAATCTCGATTTTTGGAACTTCGCCTGTTATCGTAATAACTGTCTTCTTTTAGTGTTGTTTGTTTCTTTGTTTCAACCTGAAAACACAATTAAATACCCATTTTACAGCCAAATAAACGCAAATGTATTGTTTAAAAATGGCAACAAAAATGTTAAAGCTAAAACAGTCCCGCTTATTCAAGTTAATGTGGACCACGACTCACTCGGATAACCGAAAAGTATAAAAAAGAAAAGAGTTGGTATAGATGTAATATATTTCACAAATACAAAATTTATATGAGTACACTACATACAATTCTTATTATAATTAAAAAGCATACTTTACGAGAATTGGAGTTTTTACTTAAAAAGGTCCTTAATCTTCTTTTATTTTACATTACTTTGGTGCTTTTCTGCAGTAATTTTTCGCCATCTTTTTAGGGATAACAGGAAGGCTGGTGTCGCCTCTTGTTGTTCTTTATATTCAATAGCACTTTCGATAGCTTTTAGTCTATCTGTATAAGAGATTTTAATGTGTTGATTTTCATCGTCACTCTCTTCATTCTCTTTGCTAAATTCATTTTCATTATTGACGATCATTTCATCGGATCAAGTTGTTAGATTTCGTTTTTCTGAGTGTTTGAAAGATAAAATTCAGATTTTTTTTTCCGGCGGTAGTTTTAAAAATTGACGAGAACAAAAAGAATCCTAAAAATATTTGATAGCTCGGTTAAAGCGGAAACTCGGATGATCGGTACTTTACTGTATTTAAGTTTAGTTTGTCAATAAAAATGTAACAACTTTTATTTCTTCTGATGTTAAACTTCTTATCCTTAGTACATATCAAAAAACAAAACTGATATTAAAATACTTTATTACTTATTTAATACTTTATTAAAATACTTTAATATTCATTGATATTAATATATACATAAATAAAAACTTACCAAAAATATATCTCTAATAAAGCATCGTGCTTTCTCATACTCATTTCTTACTTCATCCGAGTCTATTTAAAAGATATTAACCTATGTTACTCTTCATTCACTACAATATAAAAATGTGCTTATTTTTATAATGCCCTTTAAACTAGTTTTGAAGTTCTAAATACCGTTTATTAAAATATTCATAAGTTATAAATACTATCCTTTTGCAGAATTCAGATGTTACTTTAACAATTTAACTTCCTTAAAGATTGCAAACTTTAAATTGTACTACTTAATTGTCATTTTAATAAAGTTTAAAAGTCTTTTGGTAATACATGCTAATTTATTTGAAATAAGTAAAGGAAATATAAAATTAAGCACATTTCTTTAATTGTTGTCTGTAAGTCAAAGAGTGCTGATTTCAGTTTTATCTAGGACTAAATATATTTCAAGTTGTAAACTGTGAAAATTTTAAGGGTGAAAAAAAATGGATATTGAAGTTTTTGTCAATTTATTTTAGTTATTTGAATAAAATCCTAGTTAAAATATTTTCAATTTAAAATTATAATTAAGCATCAGTGTCTAATGAATCTGGCATAGCTTGAAGCAATATTGAATGTATGCAGGGTATTTTGTAATAATCACCCTGACTGACTGATGAAAAGACTGGTGGTTAGCTGGTGTAAATTATTATTCGAGTGAGTTAAAAGCAAAAAAGCTTTAGAAATCTGACAAACCAGTGTTTAGAAAGATGGGTGTACAAAACATTAAAACCTGTTTGATTATCCATAAGATTTGGATGACATTTGCAATTTCTTTTTTTCTCTTTTAAGGTATTTTGTTAGATTTTTAGAGCATTATTTTAATTTGTGACATATTTTTGTATTTTAGAGAATTTTTTCTCTTTTCAGGCATTTTTTTGTATTTTTAGAGCATTTTAAATTTTTGGGACATATTTTTGTATTTTATTCCATTTTTTAAGGTATTCTTTCTTCTGTTTTTTATTACTTCCTTGGATTTCATAAAGGAGGATATTTATGCTCATTTATTGAAAGTTTGTATGTTCATTTAAATGTAAATACAAACGAAAAATGCTTAATAAGAGTTAATAATTTATTTTTTTTTATTTATTTATTTTAACATTTTAATGAACTCAGAACATACATTTGCGGTGTTTTAAATATTTTAACAATAATGAAAGTGATTTTAAAGAGAAAAGCATTGTTTTAGTTTAATATTTTTATTTAAATAATCGAGCCTATTTAAAGACATTTTTAAGCACATTTTAAGCACATTTTCTGAAATTTATAGAAGATTCTTTTGCAATTTTAAAGGTATTTATTTGCATTTTATGTCTTCGAAATTCAGGCTGTAAAATCAATTTAATAATCGCAAAACTCCTTTTCCTCCGCTACCTAACAGATCTATTACACCTATAACTTCTTCAATAGTGATTTGTTGGATTTCACAAATACTTTTGCTCTTGCACAAATATTTCATTGTAACCCCACAACACGTGTAAAATTTCTGTTGAATATGTGCTTAAGATTATCATACCGGAACGCTCCCTACGAGGGCAGTTTGGTAAGTCCGTGACTTTGAAATCAAAAAACCAATATACACATGAAAATGCATTTTATTTTTCAATCTTCTCTTTCATATAGGTACACTTTATCCAACGATGTTAAAACTTTTTTTATCCCTCCAAAAAATAAAATTTCTGAAACTCATCAGAATGGCCATTTGTTGCATTAATGATTTTAGAATTTGAAGAAAATCTCTTTCCACCTAGCCCGTTATTTTAAATTTGGAAAAAGAAGAAAAAAAGTCATTAAGGTGAGAGAGAAAGGTGGATGAGGGAGCGATTCCATAACCAATTGAGTAGCTGCGATTGCAGATGAGTGAGCTGGCACATTATCGTGATGAAAAAGCACTTTTTTCCTTGGACAAATGTTGCTGCCTTTTCTTTCAAATTTTCATTAAAATGGTCTAACAAGTCAGCATAATACTGCCTGGTGATCCCCTTTTCAAGATGAGTCGATGAGGATTACACCCTTTTGAGTCCCAGAAAACTGGAATCAATGAAACAGTTTTCACCTTTTTCAGAACAAGTTAATTAGAAGTCCACTGTTTGTTTAGAATGTTCATTTCTGTTCAGTAGTAATGTATAGAAATTTTATCTATTGCAACATCATGCCGCAAAAATTCGCTTGTATTGTGCTCGCACTTTTCTAAACATTGCTCTGAAATGGTTACACGAGACCGCTTTTGATCTACTTACTGTCGGCAATCAAGACACCTTTTTTTTTTTTTAATGTATACATAGCAGGCGTTGAACAGTCGACCCAATTTCAAGTTTACACGACTATCAATGTTTAACTCCGTAGCCTTGTAATCTTAAACCCAGCCCAGAAGACAAGAGAACTTCTGGATCAAACATTGGGACTAACTACCCTTCATGGAGAACTTTTTGATGACACTAACTCGCATTTGTGTTACACGGAGAGGAAATATCTTCCACGGTTAACCCGACTGCGAGGGAAATCGAACTCGTGATCTGTCTGTCACTGAGGATATTTTATGTCAGCACTAGCCACCGCGGCTCTCGGCACCCATCTAGCGGATAACTTTTCATGCTTAAATCGTAATGCGAAATATGAATACACGTTCGTTTGATATGTTTACCTTCATATCTGTCTCATACTCTTTCACAAGTTTCCATCATGGATTTTGCTGACCTTTTCTTTAGTCGTAACCTCAATCGTGTGTCCAGAATCACAACGAAATTCCGTAAACCATTTGTGTATTATGCCGTGTGATGGAGCGGAGTCCCCATTATATTCTTTAAACTTTTTTTCGATAATCGTTTTTCCTCGCAAAAAGTAATGTTATATAGAACACAAATTATTATAAATATAGTTTGCAAATTTCACGAGTGTTACTGCAGATAATAATAAATTGAACACATAATAACAAGAGTGCGATCAGAGCACCACCTTGTTTTTTTAGTCACAGACTTATCATACTGCCCTCACGGGATGTGACGTATGTATGTTGTCTCCGGATCGCGATTTTCCGACTTGTCGACTCCCAGGCTCCTCATTGATACGGTATTTTGAAATTCTAGTCTCTCATTTTCTCGAGAGAACACTATTTCGCTCATGGTGGGCAGTAGATGCTCACATTGCCAAAAACCCTATACGTAAACAGTTTTTATTTATATTACACTTAGATAATGCGATTTTAATAAATTTAGTTATTTGTTTATTCGTCTCTTTATATTTTAATAACTACTCTTTTAAGTTTTGTAATAAGTATATAATAATTACTCTATAAGTTTTTTGTTTATTAGTCTTTTTATAAAATATTTCTTGAAACACCTTCATATTTTATAGCCTTTTGTTTCCTTTTCAGTTTTAAACTTGTTTTATAAGTATTATAACGTTTCCGGAAAATTTTCATTAGTTTTAGAATTGAATTTTTTCTTCTCTGTGAGTAGGATATAGCTTTTTAATTATTTTTTATAAATTCAATTAAAATGATTTATTGTGTTTTTGACAAGTATGTTGTACAGCTCTTTCCAAGTATGTGGCCTCAATATTTAATAATGCAGCAGGCTTTTGTACCTCATTAGTTGTTAATTTTTGTAAATACTTTAATTGAAGCTACTAGACAATTTACAAGTTTCAAACACTTTTTTTTTTCTTTAGAGTACTGATGTGAAGAGCTGATGGCTTCATACATGATTTTTTCTTTATTTCCTTTCTTGAAAAGTATTTTGTGTGGGGAGGGTAATTTAATAATAAATTTTAAATTTATTTCGTTATTTGGATTAATTCTGACAAATCTATTTAATATTTAAGATTAAAATATTTGATAATACATAGTATTTTTTCTACTTTAATGTGAGTACGTCCCGCAGTGGACTGATCGTTAGGACACGGTTCCCAGAAGTCAAGCATCACTGGCTGCGGTCAGTGTGCGGGTGGGAGACCACTTGGATCAGTCTGCGTAGGGACCGAGGGTGTGCGGTATGGGCCCTCGTAAAACTGTTCTACCGTGAAGTGCTCGACTTCGCGTGCAGGTCGTCGGGCTACCGAAGCGGGGGTGCCATCCCCTCTGCAAAGGATCAAAATTGAGATGGCTTGTCTTCGGATCGTCCTCAGGGATGTTTTCCAGACCGTGGCCAATAGCCCATTGTGCAGCTCTAGTGCGACGTAAATTAACTACAACAACAACAATGTGTGTACATATATGCAATTTTAAGTTTTAATAAATATGATTGATGTTATAAAGATAATAATCTTCATTAAAATTAAACTNTTTTTTTTTTTTTTTTTTTTTTTTTTTTTTTTTTTTTTTTAAATTCTTATTTCTTCATTAAAGAACGAAGTATTGTTTTCTCTTCATTTGAATTTTCCTCTCCTAAAACGAGGATAAATCTTCACCTAACTTAAGTAACAAACAATTCCATGAGCTAGAAGATTTGTTTACAATTTTTACGAGTAGTAGTGAGGTTATAGAGTTGCCTCTTAGTGAGGGTTAACAGATATGGCGATGAAGCAGAAGCCTAGTGAATGGTTAACCGTGTAAACGCAGATGGCGCTGGGGGGTCAAAATTCCCCGTAAAACTTCCGGGTTACTGTTTCGACTCATTATTACGCCTAAGCTTGAAAAAACGCACCATCCAATATTATTAAACTTGTGTTTACAATGTAACGCGTTCTTTCAATCTAACTTTCAACGTTGCAAACCACACATAAATTCGGCTCAAGCTTGCTATGAAGCTACCCGAAAAATAACAAATTGTGCTATTTTACACAAATATAACCCAATAAGGGATAACATGGCTATCCTTACACTTTTTTATGCTGTGATATTAATTTTGTTATTTTTTTTTTAATTTCGCGACCTGTTAGAATTTATAAATTACAGAAAAGTCTTATAAATTGTAAAATAAAGCGCAATATTAAATACAAATCACAATAATAAAACTTCCTGGAAAATTAAGTCTGCTCCTTGTAAGGATGGACATAAGGGGAGGGATGCACCAGAAGTTTTCTACCGCTCTTTGATATTGTTCAGTCAATAATCCATAAAATCGCGGCGAATGGAGGTGCCATGTCATACTCAGGGATGTTTCCGTCCCCAATAGCCCATTGTACAGCTAACTGCCCTCGTAATGTGTCAACTATAGGTAGGACCCTATTAATTATTTTTAAAATCATGTAAGTTAACGAAAAAGCGACTAAATTGTAAATAAAATACTCTTTTCATGTTTATGTCACAAATTTTCAAACATTGCAGTATAATGTTTAGGAAATTATTTAGGATAATGGAGGACGAACAGAATTGAAAAATAAGGTGGTTTTGTTCTCCCCAAGAAGAGATTATATGATAAATGAAGACATTTTGTTGAAAAATAATATACAGTCATACGCCGCTATAGTGAACGAAATGTTCGGTCCCGTGCCTTGCTATGCACGTATAATGTTATTTTTTATGGATATAGTGAACCCAAAAAGTGAGGAAGTTGGATATAGTGAACTTTTTTCAGTCTTCGACTGATTTTTTTCTCTCATTTTTTTTTTGGTAATAATTTTGAAATTTTTACTTCAAAATAAATACGTATACCGATTTTCAGAACCATTTATAGAGGGGAATGTATCTATAAGCATTTTTTCTTGTTTGCTTTTTTATCTCACTTTCCCATCCCTAAACAAGCCAAGCAGATGTTCCCAACCCAGGCAGATGATGCACCTGTAATGTGTCAGTGGGATCAATTTGCATTTTCTGTCGGAGGGAATGAGTAATTATTCATTATTGCATTATTGGTCAAAGGGTTGGACACTAATATGTGTTGATAAGGCCCTCATTTCAACTCCTTTTTGCTCTTAGTTCAGTTAAAAAAAACCTGCAAACAAGTGACTCAAATTTAACTATGGCTAGCAGTAAAAGTAAAATGTTCTTCATTGATGATAAAATGGGCATAATCAGAAAAATTGAAAATGGATGCATTTAAACTGATATTTGCAGGGAACAAAAACTATTCAAATCTGCAGCTTGTAACATATGGAAAAATAGGCAATTAATAATTTCTGCTCATGAAAAAAATTTTGATGGCAAAAAAAAGTTGAGAAAAGCGGATCAAAAGGATGTTGAAGAAGCATTACTGAAGTGGTTCACCAATCGAAGAAGCCGCAATCTTCCAGTATTTGGACAAATGTCATGAATTTGCTAAGCGATTTTATGAGACTACTTTTATGTGCTCTCAAATAGCAGGTTAGACTGGTTTAAAAAGCGGAATAACATAAATTCAGGAAAAATTATCTGAGGGTCGGGAAGTGTTTCCATGCTGAGGATTGCTCATCAACTAAAGATTACTAATTTCTTTTTTGTACGCAAGACGAAGAGTAATGAAAAAATAACACATTTTTTGNATATACACATACACAATATTTGTTATTCTTAGTCAATCGTCAATTTTACGTCAGTTATCTCAATAAAATATCAATAGAAACAAATTACAATGGTATGTTGGTGATTTTCTTCTAGAATCTGGTGTAAAAAGTTTGAACGCAAGGAACTTATTGTTTTTTTCTCGACCAGAGGTGACTTGTGATGTCTGGTAACAGTATTTTTTACTCATTTTAACCTTTAAAAAATTAGCTGATAGCTCAAAAATCAATTTTCTTTCACAAGATTAAATTTTACATAGATCAAAATGAATGAAGAGAACAGTTGCCGGACAGTACATGCAAAATTGTTTGAGAGAATTCTTTTCCAAATAGGATTTTAGTAAAAACATTAATATCGATTTTATAAAAATCCTGATGTGATTGGGAAAAATGAAGGTCATTTTCGAAATCAGCACATCAAATAACATATAAATCAACAATAACTTCTCTTGTATTTTTCCAAAAGTTCAATTTCGCAGGCTTGTGTTATTCATTATTGGTCAAAGGGTTGGACACTAATATGTGTTGATAAGGCCCTCATTTCAACTCCTTTTTGCTCTTAGTTCAGTTAAAAAAAAACCTGCAAACAAGTGACTCAAATTTAACTATGGCTAGCAGTGAAAGTAAAATGTTCTTCATTGATGATAAAATGGGCATAATCAGAAAAATTGAAAATGGATGCATTTAAACTGATATTTGCAGGGAACAAAAACTATTCAAATCTGCAGCTTGTAACATATGGAAAAATAGGCAATTAATAATTTCTGCTCATGAAAAAAATTTTGATGGCAAAAAAAAGTTGAGAAAAGCGGATCAAAAGGATGTTGAAGAAGCAACTGAAGTGGTTCACCAATCGAAGAAGCCGCAATCTTCCAGTATTTGGACAAATTTCATGAATTTGCTTATCGATTTTATGAGACTACTTTTATGTGCTCTCAAATAGCAGGTTAGACTGGTTTAAGAAGCGGAATAACATAAATTCAGGAAAAATTATCTGAGGGTCGGGAAGTGTTTCCATGCTGAGGATTGCTCATCAACTAAAGATTACTAATTTCTTTTTTGTACGCAAGACGAAGAGTAATGAAAAAATAACACATTGTTTGCTACTAAATAATATTTTTCAGTCATTTATTTGAATAATGTGCAATAAAAGGGAGGAGTTTGGAAACCATTAGTAAAATTGCCTGCGTAACGGATATAGTGAACAGAAATTTCAGTCCCTTGAAAGTTCACTATAGCGGGGTTTGACTGATATACTAAACAATTGGGTACTTGTGCTTTAAGGAGATCACGTATACCTCCTACACATGTGACCTTAGGATGTCAGCGCTAGCTGATCGTTTATAAGCTGAATGGCTTGTTAAAGTGGAATCAAGTTTCTCCCTATAAGTTACAGTGTAAATTAAATACAATACCCTATTGCACATCGAATTCGTTGAAATATATTTCTTTCTCGTCTGCGTCGTTTACTTAACTTAGATTTATTTGTGAGGTATTTTATTGTAACCGTGATATATTTTTGTTTTGTGTACCTGGCAACTTCGATACAAAATTAATTTGTTTCTGTTCTGCATGGCCTTGTACCTGTTGAAACAGATTAACTTCAATGCCTACAGATGGCGCGCAGACTGAATGAATATTAATGTTTTTTATTTTGTTTCAGTGTTGATTTCTATAGCTTCGATGAAAGAANAATTAACGTGAAGTAAATTAAATACATTACCCTATTGCACATCGAATTCGTTGAAATATATTTCTTTCTCGTCTGCGTCGTTTACTTAACTTAGATTTATTTGTGAGGTATTTTATTGTAACCGTGATATATTTTTGTTTTGTGTACCTGGCAACTTCGATACAAAATTAATTTGTTTCTGTTCTGCAAGACCTTGTACCTGTTGAAACAGATTAACTTCAATGCCTACAGATGGCGCGCAGACTGAATGAATATTAATGTTTTTTATTTTGTTTCAGTGTTAATTTCTATAGCTTCGATGAAAGAATGATCGTATATGTTGTGTCCGTACTCTTCTTATTAAATATGTTTTATTATTAGAATTCGTTTTCTTTTGAAGACTAGCGACGCAGTATCGAAGTCTGGTAAATAGATAAAACCAGGTAAGAAAGAATATTTGAAATATTTCTACTCTATTTCTTCACCTGTCACTATGTTAAGTAAGAAAAATGTAGGGAAAAGAATTGTAATCTTTGTGAAAGAACATAGAATGTGCCACTTAAGAGAACTGATACTTGGCTTACTCGAAATAGAATGGGAAAGGGCGTCAACAACCCATCAGGATACCCACTCTACGTCACATTATTTAATCTGTAACGTCACCATGAAGAAAGCGTCTGTGTTCGGATTTTTTACTATTTGAAAAATTTCGTTATCGCTGAATGATCCTGAAAATATAGAATTATTTATTGATTTTAATAACTTTAATCTAGGTTGAAAGATCTTGCCAAATTGGCGATTTTAAAAAAAAATTTCCGTATTTGTGCGTTTTACGGTATGATTGTATATTATAGTCTGTCTGTAACTTGCTCGAAGTGTAATGTACTTTAACTGTTTTTTTATTTACTTATTTTTTTTTTTTTGAAAGAGCTTTAAGAAACAGTGTTAACAAGAAGGTTAAAGTATACCATTTGGTTGATAGTGTGCATATTCTGGAAAGAACTTTTCTATCTGTGCACCTTTTTCCATTTTTTCCTGTAACAGATCTTGCTTGTTAAGAAATAAAATGAATCCAGATTCTTTCAGGAACCTATATAGGAAAGAGGGAAAAATAATTATCATCTGCCAAAGGGATTCTATAATTTCGAAAGTATTTTCAGAGTTAATTCTATTCAGAAAGGATGTCTACCGCTTTCTGTAGTTGGTACGAAAGTGGTATTGATGAGCCCAGTTAAAAATGTGCTCAAAATTATGACACATAAAATTATCTGTCAAAAAGAAATAGTTTTCTCATCAAATTTTTTGTAGAGACCCTAAAAATAAAACCAAAATGGAAGGTCATAGAAAAGCAGAAGGTGGCCAACACTCTCCAGAGAATATTTCAGCATCGGCCAATTCTATTTTCGTCAAAGAAGCACCAAAGGGTTTTTTAATTCCCCAAAATAAAAATATTTTTAAATATGTTGTTAGTCGCCTTCTGTATTAATTATTATTTAGTTACTGGCCGGTTGCCGCTAAAATTTGGCGATTATTCTTGTTGCAGATATCGATATGAAAATCTTTACTTGCATCGACGCTGCATTTGCTTCTCGCTCTAGTCCTCTATAGCCGTGCTCTTATGCTATATGCTTTGCCTGCCCTTTGATTTTAGCTACTTTATTTTCTATAGTGAGTGAGCATCCACATTATAAGTGTCCGATTTTTATCATCTTAAAACAAGAAATTGGTGAAACAGTTCCAGAAGGGTTTTTCCCTGAAAATTGTTGATCGCTATTCAAAGCAACTAAAATGTTCGTACAAGAAATGCAAGCTCTATTTCTCCCCCAATCTTTGTCCACTTAAGTAAGAAACATATAGCTTTCGTCACGTAATCGCTACCTTTATAATTTTAAGTTCTTGTCAAAAAGTATGCACGCTAAGAATCCTAAACTAAAATTTAAAAAAAGCAGCAAAGAAAGATTAAGAAAATCAAACCAATCAATAGTGCGAGAGAGGCGGTATTAAAACTTCAAAATTAATTTGGTTACCAACTGAAACTTGAAAGTGTTTTTCAATTGAAAATAGGTATCTCAAGACTCGTGATCACTTTTCCCTTCTACTTTTCGAAATTATTGCTTTTTTTTTCTTCCACGGCAGTACATTTCGGTAAGAATTTGAATATACTAACGTGGGGGGGGGGGGGTNGAATATACTAACGTGGGGGGGGGGGAGATTTATTGAAACCATGGTAACGGAGGGGTGGTAAATCACGTAGCCTTGAGAGCCCTTTTAGGTAAGGGAGGCGTTTAGGGTTTTCAAACACCCCAATTGTAAATTGCAACTATTAATATTTTCTCAAATTACTCTTTTTTTTTTCAAACACCATTTTAAAATTCATTTCAACACATGTCGAAACCAATGTTCTCCCCCCCCCTTGTCATTCACTTATAAGGATTCCTATTTACTTTGGGGAAATGTTACTCTACTTTATCTATCCCTTGGATCCAAGATCTATCTGTATCTATGGGTGTAGCTTGTAAGAGAAGATATTTTGTTTGTTTGAATTTGGTTATAAATGCTTCATAGGGAATATTTCCAAGAATTTTCGGGAATGAAATAAAATGTAACCAGTGGATGGAGGACTTCACGAGGTTGGTCATAACTTTACAGTAAGTTTAAGAAAGTTGTGACTCTCAAATCAAACTCTTTCTCGACATTCAGTCAGGAAACTTTCACTAAGATGTGCTCAAATTTTGTTCAATCTTGCTGGCTGTCTTCGGAACTCATAGTATAATTTTTAAATATATTTTTATTTCAATTTAGGGGAACATTTCTTTTTTTTTTCATACATTATCATATTTACCTTTTATTCTTTTATTAACATTTTATTCAAGTTTTATTAATAATTTTCCTACCTACATTTAAATCGTGACAATTAGTTATGAATATGATTCATTTATTTCTTTTAAATGAAGTTTTTTAATAATTTTAAAAACACCCTCAAAGAATTTTATTTATTTGAACTTAGTTTATGACTTATTAAGGGGTAATGTTACGCATGGAAAGGCTAAAATTCGTTTGAATTTCAAATGCCAATTTATTTCTTAAATTAGTTCTCTTTTTTGGTTTTTATAATCGTTACATCGTAACTATTATTAAAAAAGAAGTTACTTAAATTTTACAAAAGCAGTAACTCTAAACATACGATAAAGAACATGAAATAAATTTGTTTTCGATTAACAAGGTAAAAAATATACAACAATTAAACAAAGTTGCAGATTCACAACTGAAAATCTGCTCCGATTTAAATAATTTTACATAAAATATATGAAATTAAAACATTTGAGCTATATAAAAAATTAAACATAAAGTTAATAAATAAAATGAAATTAGATATTTTAAAGTCAGTATTAGAGTCATTGAAATTGTCTTGCACTGAAATTTAACATGTTTTTTTCATATAAATGCAGCCCTACATTTTAAGCTTTTAAATTTGAACTTGAATGTCGGATTTTGATTTGAAAATTTATTGTAAAGAAAGATTTAATGAATCGCAATTATTTTTTTTCATATTTCTTATAAGATGGTCATATTAAGAAAAATAGAAGAAAGGATGGGGGGGGGGGAAACAGATAAAAAAAATTGAAAAACAGTGTTCAAAATAAACATCTTTTATAAAATATCTATTTTTAATTCATATTAAAAACTTATAACTAAAACAAAAGTTTTTTCAAAAATTCCAATTTTAAAACAATTATTCATCAGTATTGCTCTTTCTGATGTTTTCGGGAGGAATTAAATATTTAATTATTAAAAAAGAGAGGAATATGCAACTCTAAAGCAAACAATATATATATCCATCCTGTTTAAAATTTTCATACACTGATACTATCTAGATTACAAGCTTTGGCTAAATGTAAAGAATATGAAAGTGTTCTAAACGCAACTTTCATTCAAAGAAGAGCAATTATAAGGAGTAAGTCCAAGTGTTAAAATAATAGAGAAATCAAGCAAAGGAAGAAGAAAAAAAATAGTTAATGTTACTCGGGCTCGTGGGACACGTATCTATCTGAAAAAGGTAAACCCTACGATGGACAAAAGTACTTCAACAGATGGCATTTGAAATAACATCATAAAAATTTTCTTTTTACATTTAACGTTCATTGTTTTCCTACTACAATAATTTAGTTCTCCACATCTGTTTTTATATCTCTCACAACTATAATTTAGTAATTATAACTGCTAACAGAATTTTTAAAAAAAATTTCCTAGAAATTTTTATAAAAAGTGTTAGCCATTGGACAAAGTTTTTATTCACTTTCATACTTATTTTAAATAATACCCTTTTATTATTATTCATATAGCTTTAAAATCAATATACCTTACCTTATTGTAAAAGTAATCAAGTGAGTTAGAAATATGGGTGAAAAATAGGACAATTGTTTTTATCTCAAATTATACTCCTACTTCAGTTTCTTGCCACATAAGTAAAAATATCAATCCTATTTTACTGTCCCTTAAAAAACCCACATTTCATCTTATCTAGAATTATGTTTAAACATTTTTTATAAAATCAAAATTTATTTATTAAAATTATAGAAATTGTGAATAGCTCGGGACCGAAACAGAAAATGCTCAGTGAATTGTTGGATTGATTCCAATAATATCTGCGGGAAGGGAGGCGAATTATTGTTAAAAAGAAATCATCATTGAATTGGAGTCAATTCTTTTGGAAGGGGGCGAATTATATGCTGAATTTGTGTCAAAAGAGTTATAAAGGTAAAATTTTTGAGAGTGAAATCTTTCAAGAAGGCATCCAATGGGTGGTTCGAACATAAACTGTCTTCCATTGTCAATTTAGTTCAATAACAGAAATCTAATAAAAGCCTCTTCGTTTTATTAAAACTAAAGTTACTTTTAAATGCGAGTTTTTCGTTATTGATTGAATAGAAAATTGACACCAACGTTCATATTCTCTGGGTGACATATTAAATTTTCCCTCTCCTGCTTTGAATGAGACATTTGTCGATGATTCTTTAAATTCCAGATGTCTAGAGTATGGATTACTAAGGCACGGATTTTGATGACATTTGCATTTTTGGACATTTTTTGTCCTTTAGAGCATTTTTTGAGATTTATAGGGCATTTTCTTTAAATTTTGGGGCGTATTTTGCATTTTGAAGCTTTTTTAAATATTTTGTTAATTTTTTTATAATTTTTTATTATTACATTGGCTTCCAAACAATGAAGAAAATCTCTAGGATATTAAAAGGTGAAGCAACATCTTTTCAAATTGAAGAAGAATTGTCAGTAAGTGTGACCGTCCTTTTCAAGTACGCACCAATAACATCAGTAGACGTTGAAAGAAGCTTCTCCTGGTATAAAAATTTGCTTTCAGACAAGAGACGCTCGTTTACATTTCAAAATATTAAAAAAAAATTTAATAATCCACTGTAATTCTGATATTTAGTAATATTATGAGATGGAAGTTGTTATATTCATTTAAGTTTCTATACAAAATGAAAATGTTTTGGAGTCAATATATTTTCCTTTTTTTTTTTATTTTTTTAGGATATAAAACCTATTTTTCAAACTTTAATGAACGTAGAACAAGTATTGCATTGCTTTATATTTTTTGAAACGACTCATAATAATTTTAAAGAGTAAAACATTGTTTTAGTTCAATATTTTTACTTCTATTTAAGTCATGTCATAAGGCATTTTTAGCGCAATTTTCGCATTTTAAGGGCATTTTTTGCACTTTTAAGGGCATTTTTTGCAGTTCATAAGGGCATTTTTTGCACTTTTTAAGGGCATTAATTGAGATTTCTTAGGTCATCAAAATCCGGGCTCTAATGATTACCCTTAGCCCCATTTTTTATTTATGCATTTTAAACAAACAATTGAGGCATTTTTTCCGAGACGATGGATGGGTGTTTAGAAACTATAAGAGTTTCCTGTACAAATTCGTACCTAATTATGCATCGGTTATTGCTAACTAAATAAGTGAGGCATTGTTTTCGATTTGTTATTTTAAGCTGGATCGAATGAGTTAATAAGACGAATAGCTTGCAAGCCGTTTTATGCGTAAAAAGAGCTATATTTGTCATGGTTCACACCTTTTACTTTGCTATTTATGGACTATCTGAACATGTAAGGTACATTTCCCGATGAAATTTTTTTACAGAATTGAATGATATATAATTCGAATTGATATAAATAGTTTTGAAATTGATATGTTCTTTCATAATAAATGCCACTCATTTTGTATGTATAGAAAAATCATTTCAACTTTTGAAATATATGCCTTTTTAATTCGGTTTTGATCTGATTCGATTGAACGAAAAAATATATCGGAAACAATACCTCACTTGTTTTTATAGCAATGTAAGATATGTAAATAAGTACAAGTATAAAATTATGCTTTTTGTACATAAAATGCTTAAAACTTTTAAACTATTAATCCGATCGTCTTGGGATGGGTCTCATATAATTTAGCATGGTAAATAACATCGGAAAATGTATCCTAGATATCAGTTTTAATTGTATGTATAAGTCGTGTTAAAAGAAGTACTGTTTATTCATAAAAATTCTTGCACCTTTTGAACTACTTGTTGTATTAACTTATGTATAGTCTTATTTCCGTAAAAGCATACATAGTAATTAATATTTCGGAAAAGAATACGTAGGAAACAATATCTTATTTTTTTTAATAGCAATATCATATACGTAATTAGGTACAAGTACAAATTTGTAATTTTTATGCACAAAATCCTTATAACACCTAAACTATTATTCCGTTCGCCTCCCGGGATCGATCTTATTCAATTCAACGGGAAAACATATGTTGGAAAATATGCCTCACCTGCCAGTCAAGACGAAATTTAACTCTCACACTGAAGGGGGGAAGCGTACAGAAGAAAGTAGGGGAGCTTTTGAGTATCTTTTATAACAGAGCTTTCTATGAAATGAAAAAAAACCTTAGGCATTATTTTTTCAGACGAAAAAGTTTAAATTTACTGTTGAAAATCAAATTTAGTTTTAAATTTATTAACACACTATTAAGTTTCAACGCAACCAATGGTTATTTAAAGTAAAGAGAGAGAACATAAGTATTAGTCCCCAATTTTAAATTAAACTTTACTTCAATTTGTCAAATTTGAATTTCTGAACACCCCTCCATGGAAAAGTTATACCTACGTGCTTAGGCGCCTATTTACAAAGAGTATAATCAGTAACTTCTCTCATTTTACCTTAGCTATCTATCTGGTTTAGATTTTTATTCTTTCCTCACTTTAACATTGTTTTTTTTAATTTAATTATTTATAAAAATTCAAAATCTATGCATAAAGATCACCCTGTATAAGAATCATTACCGACTCTTCCAGACATCTTGGAAAAGTGAGAGACTTTCCTGCAGTCTATTTGTCTTCTGGTCCTCTCGTATAGTCTGATCGAATCCGGACGATGCAACAAGAAACAGAATTGCCGTAATTCCTTCGAACACCTGTATCCATTTCCTACGCTCTCCTCTCTGTCCACCCACATCAAACATCCTATTGAGAAAATATCTGTAGAATTAAACCACATTTTCCTTCATCATTTTTCACTTATCCATTAATGTTTTAGTTTCAAATTGCAAATAGTACTATAAATTCTGTATCGATTCGCGTAATCATACATTTTCCTCGTCAAACCAGATTTCTTCTGACCAAAAGTGTCCTTTATAATGTATTGAAATGAAGGGGGGAAAAAATACTTTCTTACAATAAAGGAAGTTTTCTCAAAATAACACTCTTCATAATAGCATTCGTGACATTTTTTTTTTGCGAACTACTGATTTTTGTTTAAGTGGCACGTTACGCTAGATAATTTTTGATTCATTGAATGATGGATGAGCTCTGACTATTCTCAGAAGTTAGATTTTGTCATTTAATTGCTGGACACAGTCCGGAGACTTTTATTTTTTAACTAATTGTAGCACATTACTCATTCTCTAATTTGCTAATACTTAGCTTTATTTTTCACACTTTAAAATGCTATTGAAAAAGAAACTCCTCTCAGAATTTTTGATTACGCTTATGTTCTCACATTAATAATCAAACATTGTGAGAAAAGTTTACCAAAAAAAATTTGAATTTGATGAATTGTGTAAACTTATTTTTTTCTTTCACTAAAAATGTTGTTTATTAAAATTTTACTGATGAAATATTTCAAACGAAATATTTTACCATTGAATACGGGCATTGTTTGAAAATTGAAAGAGCGATAAGAAAAAATAAATCAAAGCAGGAAAAAGTTAAAAAAAAATGCATAATGACAATTAATTACAAAAGAAAAAAATAATTGGTTTAACATTATTGCAATTATTGTTTAGCCATCAGTCATTTTTTTTTCTTTCCTGTATCAACTTTGCCACAACATTTCAAGTCATATGGTTTGAAAAAACTGCATCAATTGATATATGTCTTCCAATCGTTTTCAGACAATATACGTTTCTTTAGGCGTCATAAAATTCTTTTCCTTCTTCAGTATTCGTATTTATATTTAAATCGTCCTCAAGATACTAATTATAAATAAGTTATTCATGAAAAAAAAAACATAGAAATACTTTAAATTAATATTGTTTGAAAACATTTAAAATGCATGCTGGTGAAAATAAAAATAAAAACTCTGTCTGTAAAACAATCAACTCCAAGAAATTCCAAAATGATTGTCTGCTTTTTTTAATTATTATTATTTGATCTTGTTGCACTCCTTTTTTTATTAATACTTAAGTTGGGTCTGAATTTTTTTATAACTCTTTATTTGTGATTTAGTTAATCTAGTGGATAAAGTTGATCAAGTCGAAAGGTGTGCGATCATTCAACAACATCTATTTACACACTAGGTAATAAACAAAACAAAAATATTTACAAATTATAGTGTTTATTATACTTGCCAGAAAGACTGGTAACCTCCACCATATTTCTTTGGTACTTTGACGGTAAATTCAATCCGGGATATTTCAGAAGTTCTTTTTCTGCAATGCAATATGTCCTGTCGGTAACATTATTATTATTTTGAAATGAAAAATTTCACAAAATATTGCTTATAGGAGATAAAACTCGTTTGCTTACTTTATCGCTCGGTGAATAATCATCTTTCCGGATTACTTGAATTTTGTCTAGGAAACTTAAAAAGAAAAAATTATTTTTCAATTTCTTATTAAAAATGGGTCCCACAAAATATATTTCAAGCATTTTGCTTTAACTGTAAATAATTAGTTCGCATATTTAGGCTTGACGCTATTTACGAAGTTAAAAAGTTTAAATGCTTAAGTTTAAAAGATTTGAATACATTCACAGTAATAAGTGAAATTAATGAGTGAATCTTTTAAAAAAGAAAACAGATTTCTAGTTTTGATTCTTTTTTCTTCGGATGTATATATATAAATTATTTTATACGATTTATGTTATCAGCACTGTTTTATATCGTTTTCTTCTTAGTAAATTTTTTTAACTGTTAGATTATCTACTTTTATGACATTTTAACTTTTACTCCACGTCGGTAAGTTTATTTTTTGCTTTATTTCATCTCAAACTCATTTTCAATTGCATTTTTATTTTTTACCAATATAGGCTCATTATAATGATTTATTTTTATCTTAGGATAATTATTGTTTATTTTGAAATATTGCATTTACAATCGTAAAAAATTTCTTTATAATTATATATATATATATGTGTGTGCATACTTTTACGGCTTTTTCTTAGATATAACTAAGATGTGGGGTAATATTTTGGTATCTCAAAGTGGTACTAAAATTTTGTAGTTCAAATGGAGCGCAAAACAAGTGAAACGATCTCTATCGTCAGATAAACTTTGAAAATTCAATAAAGTTTTAATAAGAAATGAATACTAAAGTAAAAATACTTATCTAATAAATCTTTTGTAATTGTTAAAAATGGATCTTATGTGTTTTATGAGTATCTAATCCTGGAAATTGCCTGTATGTTGATTTAGGACTTATTAAGTAAAAAAAAGTTAGAAGAGTTTAGAAACTTAATTTATTTTTCTTGTCCTCTATAATGTCGTTTTTGGGTGCAGTTATAGGGCAATTGAAGTATCTAGAATGCATAATAGTTAATTATTTTTCAAGAATTCGTTATAAATATTTTATAAAGGAATGGAATTATTTAAAGTTTGAATAAAACCTGAAGCTTACTACTTAGTTGAATCGATGAGTGGAAATTCACCCATTCTATTAAATGCACGCTGCACACCAGGATCAGACCACAGCTGTATGACACGGTCATAAAATTCCTAAAGATAGAGAACATTATTAAACCGGAAAATTTCTTTTAAAACTAATATATATATATGCCCTGTAATACCTGAGGATAGGCAAAATCTTCTGTTAAGCTTACAGATTGAATATACTGGAGGCTTTCAACATTGCTGTCATCGTGTAAACGTTCTGGTGGCTTCAAACTGCCCATGTTTCCAATTATTTCCTAGATAATAAAGAA